CTTTACATTTTTATATAATTTCTTTATATATATTTATATTATTTTTAATTTTATTATCAATTTCATGCTTATTAATGTTCTATTCAATATCTGTGGATAAGTTAAAAATATCGATAAAATATGAAATATATTGGAATAAATTATAATAGAGTAATACTTATATATTATTACATTATTTGCACATAATTTAAGACATTTCATATAAATTTTTGGAACAATATACACATCTTCAATTATTTGCAACTTTTACAATGTCAATTATAGCTATCCTAAACAGATTTCAAATGTAGCATAGAAACGTTTACCATCAGTTCGCGATACTACATTAAATTTTGCTTTTGTCACCCATTAATACACTAATGCAGTGTACCTACCATAGTAATCATTAATTAATATGTTTACAATTATTCTTGGCCAAAGCCTTCCGTTTCTTCGATTGCGTAATTCAGTTTTTCTACTAATTGGTCGTAACTTTTGTAAGGTGGTAAATCTAATCTGTTAAAACAGGTATGTGATCTTGGTAGCCAAGTATCTTTGCCAAATTTCTCTATACAAAACCTTTGTGGCCCATTACTACCTGTAATACAATATAGCACAAAATTCATATTATTGTTAAACTTTCTTAATTTAATTATCAATTTATTATTTAAATCAGTAAATAATAATATTGATCAATTCATATTGAGTCAATCTTTTTATGAATTATATCTACATTTACAATAATATAATAGAATATATGACACGCACGCATGCACTCAGGATTGAGCAGTATCTAATTAAGAAAAGTTAAAGAAAAGTTAAAGAAAAGTTAAAGTTAAAAAAGAAAAGTTAAAGTTAAAAAGTTAAATAACTTTAACTTGACTTACAGTTACATTTTAGATTCTCAATTTTTAACTTAATGTAGTTATATTTTATTGGCGATTACTATTAACTTTTAATTTCACTTTTTTGAGTTAAATCTTGCTGTAAATAAATAAGTCGCGAAACATCGCGCGCCTACATAAGTAACATTTACATTATGGGTCTCACCAATTCCCACTAATTTAGCATTTTTTATAGTATTTGAGGAAACATTCAGGAAACTGATTCAAAAATTCTAATTCCTATAATTCTAATTCTAATTCCTATTCCTAATAAGTATATTTCTAAATAAAGTGTATATTTGTTATTTCAATTATATAAAGCTAAAATCCTGAAATCATGAAGCGAAAC